GAGGAAGTGCTGGGTTCCCCTCATATCTGGAGATTGTGGAGGAAACTATGAGAAGGGAGAGCAAATAAAATCTATATTGTAAGTAGTCATAAACTATCAGAGTCATACACTTAATTAGAACATCATTGTAGCATTTTTTAAGCAAACTGTTAATAATGGTGCTGTTTAGCCCAGAGTTATTAGCTTAAGTTATAAGCTATTTATAATTTCTTTCTCCTGCCGTTACATTTCACCCAAGTTTGAAAACAGTACTTTTAAAATTCAGATTATGTGAGAGAACATAGATTCCAAAATGGAATGACGAACTCATTAGAAGGGTGTACCAATATTTATAATGTGTGGGTTTGTATTATATACAACTTTTAAACTTTTTATGATATTTAACTGCTGCCATTGATAATTATGATGAAACAAAATCATTTGGATTCTGAATACTTTTGACAGAAAGTACTTGAATTCTGAATACTTTTTACTTATTCACAGAAATCTTGGTTCTGAAAAGAATATTAAAATATATCCAGATGGAAGTACTCTATTCAGAAACAGAGACCTAGAAAATTGAGTAACTTTCTCAGTTATCTCTGATGGTTGTAGATTTAGAACTAGCCTTCTGCTCTCAGGCTGGAGTGGTTTCTATTACTAATTTGATACCCTACTATCTTTTAAAAGGTTTGTAGTTATATGACAGTATTTCTACCAAAAAAGAAAACATCTTGTTTGTTTTTTTTTTAAAACATCAGTGACACTGACACTAATAAAATACTTTATTACATAACATAGTTACTGAAACATCCAACTTGAGAATATAGTTCTAGCAATTCTCAGGAAAGATAAAGTTTTACATGTAAACTGGAACCTGAGTGGAATTTTCTTTGAGTTGAGTGTGAAAAAAACCCAACACATTTAAGGTTTGTGGGCAGATTTGCAGCTTTATGGCACATGAAGATTGCCATGTGTAGTAGTTTCAGGAAGAAAGAATGCAAGAGAATTCTAAAATTTTTTCCATTTAGGTTCTAAACGTTCATGAAACAAAGTTTGCCTTAGTATTTCCCTTAATTTAATACGTAGGACTTCATAGTTTGCTCTAATCTCTTAACTCTCTTTTCCCATGAAACAAAATTCTTTGCGTACAGAAAGAAGAGAAATGCTGGTGGGAGGTTGTCTAAAAAAAAGATGTGTGTGTGTTATGTATATACACAGGCTTTTGTATATGTTATGTATAAAATGTAAATATAAAGCACATTGTACCTAATCTATCTCTGTATACAAAATCAAATAAGCCATACATTCAAATTTCTAAAGGTACAAAAGGTTGCACACTGGGAGAATCACCCTCCCACTTCTGCCGCTCAGCAAGAAATAACTCTCTCAAGGAACAATTGCTTTTCCCAGTTTCCTCTGTAGCCTTCCAGAGATAATCTATTTATATTTAAACAAGTATGTAAATATTTGTTAAAAAATACTATATACACTGTTCTGGCTTTTTAAAAAATTACAGTGTATCTTGGAAATTGCTCCGTATCAGCACATACAGAGCTACTTCATTACTTTTAATAACTGCATGGTACAAGTATTCCATTATGAAATTTAACGCTTAATGGCATGTCATTAATATTATATTAATATTTATTGATTTAATTTTATTATTTATATTTGTTAATAGCATATAAATATTTAACCAGACCTTAACTGAGATTTGAGTTGCTTTCTGTGTTTTGCTATTTCAAACCATGCCAAAACATAATGTCATTTGCATATATATGAGTTCGTCTGGAGATGAGAAAGATTGCTCGTTTGAAGTGCATGTACATTTGTAATCTTGGTAGATTTTGTTAAAATATTCTTCATTTATATCACTGTGTCCCTGGCATTACAAGGTGTTTATCAACCTGTTTGGTATTTACCGATATTGTCCCATGTAGTTGTAACTTGCATTGCTCTAATTTGAGTGAGGTTGATCATTTTTTCATATACTTAAGAGCCATTCGTTATTTCCTTTTCTGTGAGCCGTTTCCTCCTCCCTCCCTCCCTCCTCCTCCCTCCTCTCTCCCCTTCTTTCTCCCCTCCCTCCATTCCCCCCTCCCTCCGTTCCTTCTTATCTCTCCCTTTTTCTTTCTTCCTTTCTTCCTCAATTTTCAGTTTTATTATTGACTGTAGAAACTCTTTATATGTACAAGAAATTAGCCTATTAGATTTATGAATTGTGGGATTTCCTACCCCTCCCCCAATTCCCTGATTGTCTTTTATGTTTTGGGTGGCATTTTTGTTTGTTTTAATATGCCACAAGTTTTGTTTTTAATGTGTCACATTTATTCATCTTGCTTTACCCTATTCATAGGAAAGCCTTCCCCATTCTGAGATCATAAATACGAATTTCCCCATGTTGTCCTGCTGTTACCACTTTACTTTTTACAATTAATCATTTGATTCATCTAGAATTTATTGAGATAAAACGTATAACATAGGAAGTCATCCTTTTTTGTTTGTTTCTTTCAGATGGCTGTCAATTTTCCCAAACTGTTTATTGATCTTACATCTTTTCCCTGTGGATTAAAATGCCATCTTTGTTGCATATTTGACGTGTATATACCCGTGACCTATTTCCCATGCCTGTAATTTATTCCATTGACCTCACTGCTTTGTGATGTGTTTTTAAAGTGTAGGAGAGCTGGTTTCCCTCATAGCTCCTCTTTTTGAGAGATTCCTCATTGTTTTTTGCATGATTGTTTTACCATCTGAACTTCAGAATCAACCATTGTAATAACCTCAGTAAACCTGGAAAAATATCCTAGAAATAATTTTTAATTGGGAATGCATTCAATTACATAGCTATAGCTTAGAGAGAATTGACATCTTTTTGGTATTGTCTTCTTATTTAAAACCATGGGATTTCTTTTCAAATGTTTTAACTTTTCTTTTGTGTTGCTTAGCATTTTAAAGTTCTCGTCATATAAACTTTGCAAATTTCTTAATATTTTCTAGGTGTTTTACTCTTTTATTATCATAAATTAAATCTTTCCTATTGTATCATTTTGCTAATTTGTGCATGTGCATATGTGTGTGTGTGTGTGTGTGTGTGTTATGTGTGTGTGTGTGAAGGCTATTGTTTATTAATTATCTACCCAGTGCCATTTTACATTTGTAATAGTTTTTCTGTTGATAGTTTTGGGTTTCCCAGGAAAGCAATTGTATTATCTTAGAATAATGATAATTCTATCTTTCCCTTTCCAATTTTGGTTCTGTCACTTTTTCATCCCAGGTCATTGGCTAGGACCTCTTGAACAATAATAAATAGTAATAGTAATAGTGATAGCGGTATCTTGACTTTAGTGGTAACATTTCTAGTTGTTCATGATTTAGCAGTAAATAAAAGCGTTCCCTCTCATATGCCTGCACACGCATGTGTGTATGTAATTATGTAAGGAAATATCTAACTATGCTCCTTTTCTTAAGCAATTATATTAAGAATGAATCTAAACGTTCTAAAACTGATTTATGGTGACTAAGGCACCACTTGGTAGAGTTACTAGAGACCACTGAGATGTACTTGGAATAGGTCGATTTTACAATGATTTTATGATAGTTACCTCAGTAAAGTTGTTTTAAAAAAGAATAAATGCCGTATTTTATCAAATACTATTAAAGTATCTATAGAGATGATCATATAATTCACTTTTAACTTTTTATGTGATGAATTGTTTAAATAAGTAAAAAATCCTTATATTCCTAGAATAAATGCTACTCAGTCATAGTATGTTAATCTTTTTATGTAGTGCTTAATTCTGTTTGCTTATTTTTAATTTAGGATTCAGATCAATATTTAGAAAGGAGATTCATATATAATTTCTCTTGTGTGTACTTTCTTTGTTGGGTGATAGTATCAATATTACAGTTTGCTGTTCAAATAAGAATTTGGAAATTTCCCTTCCTTTCATATGGCTTGAAATGGTTTAAATAGTATCAGAATTGTCTCTGAAAAGTTTCCTAGAACTCCCCCTCTGAAGCCATCTAGACCTGTTTATGTTTATTTATGTATTTATCTTTTGGAAGGTCAGTCAGGAAGGTAGCTTTTGACTTGTGTTTCATTATAGTATTGACCCATTTTAAGTCACCCCACCCCATCTGATGTAATTCCTTAAGTATATCCGAAATATGATTTACTGAACATCTTCTATTCATACTGATTGAGTCCCTTCTAATTAAGAGTAAGGCAATGTTATTGTCGATTTACTGGTTTCAAGAGTGGCGGCTCTGTTTTACATTCAGTTTTTTGTGCTATTTCACAGTCATGTCTACCATTCCCAGATTTGGACACTAAGGACTATTCTGTATGTTTATTGTTGAGTTGGTGGTATTGCAGACTGTACTGTATTCTTATATTTCTCTATAGACTAGCATTACTGTCTTTGATACACTTGGCCAAGAGAGCCATTTTTACCGCAGGTCATGCAGCAGACACACTGTCCATCCTTAACAGACACAACTGACTTACCTCTTTCTTGTACTTTGTAGGTACTTAGAGGTTCTAGTGAGTGAAGTACCTGTTGTAGTATCTACTATGTGTTTGTTTGCAAAGGATGTAAAAGACATGTTCTGAGGGACAATATATGTTATGAATGCAAAATGGAGTTAAATTAAATATTATGGTAAATATGTGTATTCAGATATATTAAAGGATTCAATTTTACATCTGTCTAGGAGGGGAAATAATTTCCAGATAAATATTGATTCAGTTGCCCTTATATCTGTCCTGAATTTGTAAATTAATATAGAGATTACTTCAGCAGTATTTTTGCTTTTCTATATGAATTGGGCTTCTATGCTAGGAAATTGTAACACCACAGTAACAGTGGTGCAAAAAATGGTAATATTGATCTAAATTTAGGTCACAGTGTTTATTTTTAAATGGTTAAGGAAAAAGATTGATATTGATAGTTGATAAGATAGTATTGGATTATATTGAAGATTTGTTGACAGTATATTCTTTCCTTTTCTCATAGATTTATCTAAAAACCGACTGGTTGAAGTTCCAATGGAATTGTGCCATTTTGTATCACTGGAAATTCTTAATCTGTATCATAATTGTATCAGAGTCATTCCAGAAGCCATCATTAATCTGCAGATGCTGACTTACTTAAATTTAAGGTAAGTTGACTATAAAGGTTGTATCAATGAAAAAAAAATTTTTGCTCTCATTTCTATCAGTTTTTTTTTCTCTGCAATTCCTGATCACCCTTTGAAGTAAATCACAAGAAGATTATTTAAGAAATATCTTTTATAGTACATTTGTAGTGCCATTAATATTGTTTTTGATGCTAGACTTCTCTGAATGTCAGTATGACAAGATGTTTTGATTTTTTAAAATAATGTATACAACATAGTTTATCCTTCTTGTCTATTTGGTACTTGGAAGGTTGTTTGTATATTGTCTTCAGATATTGATGCAGATTTTGGAGGTGGAAAGCTAAAGGAAGTGAAAAAGAATTGGAGGCTGGGACAAATTAGGGCCTTGCTAGTCTTTGGGGGTTATTGGTACCATTGGATTTACTACCCAGCCCTGACTGAGCCTGTTCACTTCAGACCACCGTAGAAAGTTAAGGAGGAGCATTGAGCTACTCCAGCAGCGTGTAAAGTTTATGTTTTTAGCCCATTAAATTAGGTCATTGTTTGCTGAGGACAGGTCAGTGGTCTGTATTGACTCTCTGATTAAGCACAACACAGTGTAACATATTAATGCCCCTGAGTAGTTCTGAAGTTAAGAAGAACAGCTATTTTAAGGCCTAGGTTTTAGACTTTGCTGCTGTGACTGTCAACTGCTCTGGCCAGATTTTGACTCCTTGACTCATATTCTGGGATGGCAGGAGAGAGGGGGAGCTATTTTATCAAATCTATCTGTACTATAAAAACAGAGTTGCAAAGTTCAAGCCCGAGTGTAGCCTTCACTTTTGTCAGTTGCATTATCTTAGTGTGCAAAGATACCTAATTAGCAAGGCTTGTGCTGTGTAACAAATATGCCAGAGTTCAAAGTGCAAGATTCAACTCTAGTATGTTTCAGATTCCACATATTAGTGATACCTTACAGTATTTGAAAAGACATATTCTAGACAGAAGCATATAATATAATTAAATCAAGACATTATCACTAATTCAGATGTGTTGGGGAAGTCTGTATGCATTTCCACAAATTAAAGAAGTACTGCAAATTACTTTTGAGCACAGACTTAAGGTAGACTGTGTCCAATATAGCGCGTTTTGAAACAACTTTAACAAATAGGCAAATTTGTCAGTTCTTATAAATAAATACCTGAAAACACTACCTTTTCAGTAGTACTTAGGATTTTTCCTCTTATTTCTACTAACTAGGAAGAAAGAGTTGTTTGATAAAATAGTGCAGAGAAGTTGCTCTTCTGGTTCCACAGATTTTGTTTCTGTACTTAAAATTACCCACTGTCTTCCTGTGTTTTTATTTTTTTCCCCTCTATTTTAATGAGTTGCATGTGTAAATTACTAGTGTTCCAAAATAAGAGAGGTATCATATGAAGCGACTTTGAATTATTGGGAAACATTCAAAATTGATCACACCCTCTGGGACATCTTGCGTATTCCAGCCGAGTAAACAGTCGTAAATATTTGATGGTGGTGGTGATAATGACGACAGTGGAGGTGATGGTGGTATTGGTGGTGGTGTGTCCCTGCCTACCCAGCTAGTTGGCTGACAGGATCTCTCAGTGACATTATCTTTAAATGTCAAATGACTGCCTGGTACCAACAATCCAGTTCCTGTCTTATAACAGAGATGAGTTTAATTAGCACATGGAAAGAAAACCTTCACTGTGAAACGCAGTGCAAAACACTTCAGTGTTTTCTAGATCTTCTCTTGTGATAGAAATGTCAAATTTGTGGAAAACATTAATTTATTGCTGTTTATGTAGCTGGTGTTTGAAGGGTCTGGGCCTTTAATCTTCGCCTCTTGGTGTTCACAACAAAAGGTTATGTTGGCTTAGTGTATGTGCCACTGTGTTTCTTCCTGTTAGAAAGTGTCTTAATCCAAGAAATGTGTCCAAGAACAATAAAAATGATTAAGTAAGACTCGTCCCTATATAGGAACAAACACTTTGAACCTGGGCTGCACAGGAGAGCCTCACAAAGTTTAAAATCTATTTTAAGTCATTGGAGAGGTTGTTTTTGATGAGACTTGTAAAGAAAATATACCCTCGAAAAACAGAATAACCCAGAGCAGGGAAGCTTTTGGTAACACAGAGGGTGTCGTGAAACTGAGAATGGGGGAGCTTAGCTTAAGAGTTTCACCTCAGAAAGATTCAGGAATAGAAGCTGCCAAAAAATGCAAGCTCTTTACAGCATTTGATCATATTGCTTCCAGAACTCTTGGTGAATGGTTTTACTTTCTCGGGGTGAGATGCGTGCAGCTGGAGCTGGCTTATCCATCAGAAGCCCCTTCCCCTCCCAGTCCCCTGGGAGTGGATTGTGAGACATCGCCTGTAAAGAAGGGAGCAGCCTCTTGAGCAAAATGTTATCACACCATAAAAGGAATCTGTTTGGGCTGCTTTTTCTGAAGCCTGGCATCCTTTTTGGCTGCTGAACAATGTGCAGAAAGAGCCAACTTCCTGATGGCCGTATAACCTGTATCCCCGCATTCCTTTGGGGGCTCGTCTGGAGGAATAATCCGTAATCCTCAGTGTGTAGCTCTCTATGTGAGGGACATGGGAGAAGCATCCTACACGTTAGGAGTGCCTTAGAAAGCACAGATTTTATGTTTTTTGTTATGAACAAAAAACTCAGTTTTATTGTTCTTAAGAATTTTGATTTTGTTCCTAACAAATACACCTCCTCCTTGCACTGACATTCTGAAGAAAGTCTCATTTGTAGGATAGTGTTTTTTCTTTTTATAAATGGAAAAAATGGATGATGTCTTCTTAAACTGGAAAAGGGGAGGAGTTTTGCTCAGTTAAACTTGTATTCCCTCTTTCTTTTATGAAGATCTTATCTGAATCAAAGTGAAAACAGGAATATTTTAGTATGTGTATTTTGGAACTGGCCTCTGGTAACTAAAACTAGGTTGTGTTTTGTGAAAAGACAGATCAGCAGAAAGACACGAAAACACAGTGAACCATGTTGAGATTTGGAAGTATTGTCTTAAATCTTAGAAGTATTTTTTGCAGAATGCCAGAGTTGGAAGTGGCCAGCAGAGCTGTCCACTGCAGGAGCTGCAGCTTGTGGTTTAAGCCTTGCCTTTTCTAAGGTGCTCACTGGGCATTTGTTTTTAAGGTGGAACCTTTAGTCAACAGTCCCTAAACTTTTAGTGTATTTATAAATTATTGTGCCTGTAAAGTTATTGGCATTGGTAGTTGACAGGTTTTATTAAATTGCTAACTAAATGTGAATGAGTTCGTAATACGTATTTCGTATCAGATTCCATTCCTTTTAGTATAGCCCATACTTGGCAAGACTTCCAAAAGGGGTTTTTCCATTATACACATC